TTTTTTTTTTTTTTTTTCTGGTAGTCAACAAAAAACTGTTTTGCTAAGATAATTTTTTTTGCTAACGAGATTTCTTTGGTTATCCAAGTTGTTTGGTTGCTTCAATTAGTGCCTATTTGCTAGTTCATACTACTGATATCATTGCAAGTCGTTAGTTGTTCTACAGTTTTTATTGTTTGAACACCTATATCCCCACTGAGCATCTGAATCTCTTGTCATGGTGATAAGTGCTCGGTGTTGACTATTGCATCATATCCATCTTAATCACCGTCATCATCATTATCATTTGACTTGCCGTACCGACCAACTTATCTACCGCTTTTTGACAGAAGAAGGAAAAAAAGAACTAACTATTCAATGTTCTCCTCTTTCTTCTTCTTTTTCATCTTCTTCATTTACCTCATCTTTTCTTCTTCATTTTTTTTTCCCCGTTCAGTTTTGTTAGAATATCCGGAAACTGGTGAAATGGAGAAGGGAGAAATGAAGATTGAAGAAAAAATGAAAAAAAATTTTTTATTCTTGTCTTTAACGTCGTTTATTGTTGCTACGATCTTTTCTCATAAAAATAGCTCTAAAAAAAATTTACTCTCTAGAACTGTATTTACAACTTCTCATTATTCAGTCGTCAGAATCGTCATCAATTTTTGTTGCCCAGATTTTTTGTCTTCCGGTTTTGCCTTTTATTAAAACTATGTACCTTTATAATCATTTATTCATGCAAAAATCAAACACACTTTTTATCCCTAAGTTTTCGCTCTTAATTAAACATATATTTTACTTACCATTCAAAACATTTTAAATGTACTTCAAAAAAAAAAAAAGAGAAAAAAGGAAAGAAACGAAATAAAACAAAATAAAAAGAAAAGTATAAGAAGGGAAAAAAATACAATAAAAATTTGGCGTATAGAAGCGCCGAAAAAATTAAAAAGGAAAATGAGTAAAAAAAAAGAGAAAAAAGAGCAGAAAAAAATGAAACAGATAATATCAGCAAAAAAAAAGACAGAGTACTTTTTATTAGGTAGAAAAATAGGTTCGTTTTTTTCTACGTTTTTTCATGTTTAATACAATAATTATAGTGACGAAAGAAAAATGAATAAAATTAGATCAAATACTAAACTTCTATATATCGCTTTGATACAATGTTCTTTGGGCTCTGTAACTTTGTCTGTTGCCATTGTTTTTTTTTTTTTCTACAGGTTTTTTCGTATTTGTTTCTTTTTGGCTATTCTCTTCTGTGCCATAAATTTGTTTGTTTACTTTCGTCTTTTGTCAGCCTTACTGATTAAATCATCCGATGTTATATTGTTATTGTTCAACTATTTTTTCACCAAATAGTTTACTCATCTTCTCAAGT